TTTTTTATTTTTTATTTTTTATTTTTTATTTTTATTCGGTAAGCCACGTCAACACCGTTTACCGGAAACCGTTAAAAAGTTAACGGTATTAATGTTCGTGTAGTAATTTGGAATAAAATTGCGAATTGATGTGTTTTTTTAGAAGATAAAAAATTCATTTATTTATTAGTAAGAAATTAACAAATTAATGTATTTACTTAGAATTTTTCCTAATAATAATAATAATAATAATAAAAAAGAAGGTTGGAATATATTTTGGGGAAAAGTGATAAAAAGGGGCAGATAGGCAACGGAATCTTTGGAGCCCTTGTTCACAAAGCAAAGGTTCAGTGACATTACTATAAGTTAACACACAATTGCAGATTCATACATACATACATACAATTAATTAATTAGCTGTATATCATACAGCATGTAGAATTAGTAAAGGCAAAAAAAAAAAAAATCTCCTCTGCGTACAACCATTAATTAATTAAGTTGAATTCCAACCATTTCTTAAAAGAAATATTGATTACTTGTTTTATTATCAAATTGATTACTTGTTTTATTATCAAACTGTAGTATCAGATTGCAGTTACTATTCCGTTTTTTAGTAAAAGTCATAATATCATGCATAATTAAACAGCTACTAATACCACAAGACATTCTAAAAAAATATAAACAAAATTAAACAAATATAATAATAGATCACTTATAATGTTATATAATCTCTCTATATTATTATAAAATGAAACTCATAACTAGCAAACAGCGTTAAACCAAGAAGCAAGGAACATACGAATCTTACAGCTTCCAAGATTTCTTGATTTCATCACAAGAAATGCTAAAGAGATAAGGGTTTTATAATAATCTATATCCAAACTTTGAGGGTTTAGACTAATCCAAAGGCAAAGAATCGAAATGCCCTTATTGTTTGTCCCTCTCTCTCTCTATATATATATATATATGAATGTCCACACATCTCTATATCATCACACGATCCAATCAAATTAAGACGTTTTTTTCCCAAAAAAAAAAAATGGCACCTTCAAACCACCAACCTTCACAATCGCAAATACGGATGCCACAGCCACCGTACAGGCGTATAAACCTCGTCCAGTGCATCATCATCGCCGTCCTGGTCTTGGCCCTCCTCGTCGGCCTCGCCCTCTTGATCACGTGGCTAACCCTACGGCCGAAACGCCTCGTCTTCACCGTCGAGGCCGCGTCCCTGCAAGACTTCGCCCTGACCAACGACGACCACTTGACCGCCAAGTTCAACTACGTCGTCAAGTCCTACAATCCCGAGAAACACCTCTCGGTCAGATACCACTCGATGCGCGTCTCGACGGCTCACCGCAACCAGTCGGTGGCCCACGAAGAGATCTCTCCATTCAAGCAGCCTCCCAAGAACGAGACGAGGATCGACGCTCGGCTCGTTTCCAACAGCGTAGCTCTCTCCAAGTACAATGCCAAAGACTTGAGGGCCGAGAAAAGGGAGGGAAAGATCGAGATGGACGTGTATATAACGGCGAGGGTTAGCTACAAGGTCTGGATTTGGCGGTCGAGGAGACGGACTTTGAAGGCCGTTTGCTCGCCCGTCACGCTCAACGTCACGTCGAGCTCGTTGAATGGGTTCGCGAGAACGTACTGCGAAACCCGTCTCTGAAAACCGAACATGTCCATGCATTGTCTGTTCTATTTGTGTGAAAACGTGTTGTCTTTTTTTTTTCAATAACTTCGATTTCGTCTCTGGTTTTTGGTCCTTGTGTTGCATTTGCGTGCATTCATTTCATTTGTGCGGGTCCTTTATTTTTTTATTTTCATTGTAAAAATGATTTGATATTATTTGTTGATTTATCTCGTGATTGTATTTAATTTTTTATTTGAAAAAAAAATGAAGATTCTCAATATGAGTTCTGTACAAACTGAAAACTAACTTTTGTTAAAGAGAGAAACACAAGCGCTTCAAGCTAGGGCATCTTTCACGTCTCTTAATTTATGTGGATTTCAAGAACATTTAGGGGTTAATTTGTAATTGGAAAAAGTTTGAGCGACCTTTGAATTGATTTGGAAGTACCGGGGTAGTATATTGAAAAAAACGCGGAAAACGAAACAACAACGGGCTTGAACCGGGTTCATGTTGGGCTGAACAAAACTAATGATTTTGAAAACATCGACCCCAATTTTTTCCAAAAATAAAATAAATTTCGATTTTGTAATTTTTAATAAATATTTAGAGATATTTTTGAAATTGGTGGCGAGCTGAGCCATCGTCAACCGGGATGAACACGAGAAACTCCATGTTAGCTTTCCTTTTTGAGTTTTAATATGCGTTTTTTCTATTTTCTATCGCCAGAAATGAATCTATAACACACAAAACAAAGAAGATATAAAACGGAATTTTAAAAAAATAAACAGTAAATGCCGAAAATAGGGAGTGAGAAATCATTGTCGTGTCCATTTCGGGAGTTACGAGAAGAACAGGTTTTGATGTGAATGTTTTCCCAAATCTCCATATCCGTTGGTGGACGAATCTGACCAAAACAAGATATTAATTATTGTTTTTTTTGTTAATCGGGTTTTCTGAATCAAGATGCAGATTAATAATAATTACTAAAAAGAATAAAATAAAGATAAAATCTCTAAAAAAATATACCCAAACTTTTTATTTTTTTTAGAAAAAATCTAAAATATATTTTTTGTCAAATAAAACCTAAACTTTATAAATGTTATCTTTTTAAACTTAATCGATATGAAACCCAAATTTGGTTGACCCAATGGTGAGAGAACATGCAAATCATACTCTCATTCTGAATTCAAACCCCAAATGTGGGAAGGAGTATTCACTTGGACTTCTCTGATCCTCTAAAAGATATAGTTGGGTTTAAAAATGATAAATTTTATAAATTTTTGTTTTTAACATAAAAAAATGATTTTGGGTTTTATTTGAAAAAACAAAGTTATTTTTTTTTTTGGAAAAAATGAAAAATTGAAGTATTTTTTTAATGATTTTCTCTAAAATAAAAAATCATTAACTGACTCATTAAATAATTTGTTCTAGTTAACCACATATTGAGTAAAATTGACGAGGAAAAAGTTGAGCCGAGCCCAAATGTAGATGTAATTCATATGTTTTTCTTTTTTCTTGTAAAGTTGTGTTATTCATTAAATATAGAAAATTAATTAATTGTGTCGTTTTCGGTGGAACGAACTTTAAAGAGCAATGTGCCGGTAGTATCACAGTTATCAGAATCTTCCTCGGGAATCACAATATGTGAGCACAATATATTATATATATATGGGGAAGACCGACACAATAGTGCATTAATGTAATAAGATTGTAAAAAAACAAAATCAGTTTGGTAAAAGGGTTAATAAGTGAAAAAAGGAGGGTTAAAAATGGAGATTCCATTAATTTAGGTTTTGGACAAAACTAGTGTGACTTTCAAAGTAAGGAATTGTTGTACCAAAAACAGTTGGTTTTAATTAGGTGTAACGAGCAGACTTATAACCAACCCTCCTATTTATTTATTTATTTACTTTTATAATTTTATTTTTAATTCAATATTTTATTTTTAATTGTACAAAAAAGGTCGATGAGAAAAAAAAAAAAGGTAAGGGAATGGGAAACAGATGTGTATCCATATGGCTTTTGCTTGTTCTTATATTTGACTAGAATAAGAGTGATACTAAAATACGCACGTGGAAATCATTTATTCCCGAAATTATTCGTGGGTTTTTTATTTTGAGAAGAAATTTAAGTTGTTATTTCGGATAAACCGATTATTTGATTGTATATTCGATAATATTATATATATATATATATGTATAGTTGAATCTAGCCCAAAAATGGGGTGAGTGAACTCACTTTCATATCACTGTATATATAACATATTCTTTCTCCTTCTATTGCTTGAATATGAATTCCGTACTTTGATTATAAAAAAAAGGAACATTTAAAATATGAAGCGCACGTATTCTCTGCCTTTGTCCAGCTCCCCCCCAATTTTTTTTTTTTAAAAAAACGAATTTGGCCGTGAAAATTCATCGCTATCTAAAAGAGATAGACATTACGGAACTCTATATATTTGTCTGCATGTGTTAGTGTTCTTATCGGTCCAAAATTTCGTATCCCTGAAATAAAGGGGTGTGTATATATATAGACGAGAATTTTCAAAATTCAGTAGCTCATAGTTAATTAATTATCAATATATAATTCCAGTTGTATGATCCATGCAATAACAATTTGCAAGAGTGGGATGGGTGAATCTTGCGACATATTATATATATACATACTTATGTAGATATATTGTCGCTATAACAATCTAAGACCGTTTGTTTCTTTTTTTAAATAAAAAAGTTAAAGTTTGAGACATGTTAATCGTTGATCTTTAAATGTTGATGATTTTAGTTACGATTGGGAATTATGAAAAGTTTATATTTAGACTTTAAAGTTAATTTTAAATTATTTGTATCGATCAAAATTAAATTTTAAATCAAAATAATACTTTTTTAACAAGAGTAGATAAGGTGAGGAGAAAGACCCAAAACGAAGGAAGAACCTAATCCACGTCTTTTAGTTGTGGTGGTTCTGCTGCCAAACCCTAATCCACGTCCATCTCGTGTCTTTGCCCTTGTGTGTGTGTATATGTATATATATATATAAATATATATATATTCCGTGAAATTCCTATAATTAAATTATGATACTTTAATGTCGGTTTAGTTCTGCCTGAATTTGATTTTATTTCGAAGTTGGACTAATTCGGGTTGAAAAACTAAATGAGCTTTGACTCGAGTTTCAACATTCTATCAAGATAAGGTAATACACATGGCTGGTATGTACGTGTGTGCATGTTTTTTTTTTTAAATAATGAAACTATATAAAATTCCATTATATAATTTTTTTTAAAATAAAGATATTAAACCTTGAAAAAAAAAGGGGGGGAGGGAAGAGAAGATGCCGTCTCGCTTGCTTTTCGTGAGTGAAAAGGCAACCATTGAACACTAACTAACCACTTGCTTACTCAAAGTATTCTAACTTCAACAAGTATATCACCTTTATTTTCTAACATATATCTTTTAATTACACTCCCACACTCATCTATTATATATATATATATATGTAAATTTATTTATTTATTTATAACGTTTTTCCCATTAAAAACAATAATTCCAATGACAAATATAGTGACAATTCACAATGAATCGGTATGTAACCATTTTTTTTTACGTTGGCTTCTTTATGGATCACTACTAGTAATGGCAATCTACCAAAGCTGGTGTTGCGGAGAACACGAGCCCTTGAAACTTTGACTCTCTAACATCATCTTCCGGCGCCGGGAGATTAAGATCCAACGGTAGATATTTCCTCGGCTCTTTTCTCCCTGCACTCGCACCCTGCCCTCGCACCCACCGGATTATTACCCCCCTCTCCGGCGGCTTCTGCTGACGTGGCAGCCCTGTGCCGCCTCATGTGGCCGCCGAGGGCTTGACCGGAAGTAAACTCCGATCCACAGATCGAACACTCGTGAACTTTGCTTGGCTTGTTGTTGTTGTTGTTGCTGTCACTTGCCGGTGATGAGATTAGGGTTAGGCCGGAGATCTTGGTCTGACAATTCTGCCCTTCTTCGGAGGGGCTACGCTTCGGAGTCGCGAGGGGCGATTTTGTCTTTTCGATGTCCGTTCTCGGCTTCTTGTGGCTAGCCCGGTGCCCTCCAAGGGCTTGGAACGACGGAAACGTCCTGTTGCAGGTTTTACACTCGTAGACGCAGAATCTTGAATTCTCATGGTGATCGGTCTTTTCCGATGGGTTCTTGTGGGTTTTTTCCGGTCGTTCGAGCTTCTCATGCGGCGGAGGACCGGCGCCGGAGGCGAGCATGATGAGGCAAATGGCCGTAGCTTCTTCTTCCTCCGTACAGTCGGCGGAGGAGGAGCTGGTGATTGTTGTTGTGTTGGTCGTAGAGGAAACCGCCGAGCTGTAATCTTCGGGGACTCCTCCTGCGGCGGTGGCCGATGAGTTCTTGGAAGTGACGGCGGTCGCCGTCGAGGACGATCTTTGCCGCTTCGTGCGCTTCCCTTTGATGATGTGATGAGCGTGATCGCTTCCGAGCTCATCTTGAACATCCATGACTGATCGAAATCAGAAAAAAAAAAAATGGAAACCCAATTGAAGAAATCGATCGAGGAACAGAAAACCCGGAAGAAATCTTGGAGAAAAGCTTGGAATCGTGGAGTGAACTAACAGGAGAGAGGAATGAAAGAAGCTGCGAAGGAGGAAGACGGTGGGGGCTGCTTTTATAAGGTTAATAAAATTCAGTTCACTAAATAATAACGCTTCATGAAAAATTCAATTTCTATGGATTATTATATATCCCCTTTTTACCATATTTACATGTAAAGAATATGAATTCCGTACTTTGATTATAAAAAAAAGGAACATTTAAAATATGAAGCGCACGTATTCTCTGCCTTTGTCCAGCTACTTTGTATATCCTGTGAGCTTGGTCATAATCAATCCCTCCACCCCATCCTGATTTATTAAGTCAAATCTTAAAAAGTAAAATTTCATTATATATATATATATATAACAAGAGTATATTAATATTTACTTTAATTGGTTAATTGAGTGACAAAGCGAAACTTCTATTATCTCAACCGTGAACAAACCGTCCTGCCTGCATCGGTTCGCTTTTATTTTGTTCGATTATTAAAATATAATGTTGACGTTCAAAGTTTTTTTACTTTGACGCAATTTAAGTCCACGTCATCGGAAGGATGCTTTCACACAGCTGAAATATGACTCGTAATATATATATATATATATATATGTATATATATGTGTGTGTGTGTGTGTGACCACAATAATACCAATTTCTTGTTAAATAGACATTTTCCTCCGTGCATGTATATTTTTTCTTGGTAAAGAGGGGCTTCGAATATTAAATGACATGATAATTGTAATGTTTCTATTAAAAAACTTTGTTCTATACTAATTACCAATTAACTGCTCAAATATATAAATTCTACTAGAAAATATTGTAAACACGTTAATTCAGGCTAAAAGAAACGATTAATGGAAGGTAATAAAAAGTTAAATAAATAATATGTTTTTTTTATTCTACAAAAAAAATTAGAATCATATTAAATTTTCATATTTCTCAATTCTTTTTATTTTTTATTTTTTATTTTTTGATTGTCGTTAACACAACAAATAAAGTAAGTATATGTTATTATTAAATATTGGGCGGTTCAAATGATAAGTGAATTAATAAAATAAAATTCTTTTCAATCTAGATTTAGGTTTGAGTCTTCATTTTAAAAGGTATTCATATGGATTTTCTTTATATATAGTTGGATTAAAAATTCGATCGGTTAACTTTCGAATTATAAAAAAAAATGTATATGTTGTTATAATTACAGCAACATAAATAAAAAGACAAATGCAGTATGTTGCGTAAAGCAGAGACACCAACAGATGTGTAGCCAAAAGCTACTAATTAATAATAACCGCATTTTATATAGTAAACATAAGATTATTAAATAATAATAGAGCTCCTACATACGATTTGCTAATAATCCGTTAACATATAAATTAACATTTTTTATGTATTGCTGTACACTTTCCATCTTATATGTTTTCAAGTTAGTTTTGAGACAAGAATTGTTAGAAATTATATCAATGACATTAAAATTGAATTTATATATAATTTAGGGATAATCACATAAAAATACCCAAACTTTTACAAAAATCCCAAATAAATACCCAAAAACTATAAAATTATCATATAAATACCTGAACTTTTCAAAACTCCCACATAAATACCCAGATTTTTAAATTTTTTCCAAATCAAACAAACGCAATTGTTAGAAATTATATCAATGACATTAAAATTGAATTTATATATAATTTAGGGATAATCACATAAAAATACCCAAACTTTTACAAAAATCCCAAATAAATACCCAAAAACTATAAAATTATCATATAAATACCTGAACTTTTCAAAACTCCCACATAAATACCCAGATTTTTAAATTTTTTCCAAATCAAACAAACGCAACTGCTGACTCAGCAAAAAACTGCTGACTCATCATTCAAAAATATTATTAAATATCCAAATATTAATCTACATGTATTTAAATTAATATATACATATAAATTCACATATATATACAAATATATATATATATATATATATATATAAATAAAATTATTTATAATTAATAAAACACATATACACATAACTACAATATATATATATACACAGCC